CCCCCCCCGGTTCCTGGACCGTCCTTCGGGGCTGGGTGGGGCCCGGGACCGCGGGAACGGCGGGGTCAGCTGTGCGTCCCTGCCGCCCGCAGCGGTACTACGGGAAGTCACTCCCGTTCGGCCAGCAGTCCACGCAGCGCGGGCACACGGAGCTGCTGACCGTGGAGCAGGCCCTGGCCGACTTCGCTGTGCTGCTGCAGGCGCTGCAGCGGGACCTCGGGGCCGAGGATGCCCCTGCCATCGCCTTTGGTGGGAGGTGGGTCCCTCAGGCAGGCCGAGCTGCTTGCTGTTCTTGGGACAAAGCCCTGCCTGTATCTGGGCCCCCTCACTGGGACGCTTTCAACGTTCCTCGTTGGAGACTTGAAGGAGCGTTGCCTCCTCCAGGAAGCCCTCCTTGCCCTTCCTCTGAGCCAACCCCATGGGCTGGATGGAATGTGCAGGCCACACTAGTGGGAGTCTTGGCTGTGTCCCCAGGGCTGGGCCAGGGTGGGACCTCACCAGATGCCTTTTCCCAGGGAAAGCTGAACCTGCACGGGGCCTAGGGTCAGAATCTGTGGGCCTTGGAAAGTTTGGGTTCCTCTTGTGGCACTCGTGGGCCTCTGAGGGAAAAGAGGAAGTGGGATGTTGGGGGGGGGCAGGACCAGCCCCAAAACCTCAGCCCAGAGGCCAGGGTGGGGCTGCAGCCTGCGCGCGGGCAGCTTCTGGAGCGGGGCCCATGGTCGTAACCCTGTGCCCACACCAGTTATGGGGGGATGCTCAGCGCCTACATGAGGATGAAGTACCCCCAGTTGGTGGCGGGGGCGCTGGCAGCCAGTGCGCCTGTCATCGCAGTGGCAGGCCTGGGCGACTCCTACCAGTTCTTCCGGGATGTCACGGCGGTGAGTGAAGTCCGGGGCCCCTCAGGCTGGTCCAGGTGTGGTGGCTGCAGCAACAACAGTTGGCTTTTTCCAGGACTTTGACCGCCAGGGTCCCAAATGTGCCCAAGGTGTGCGGGAAGCCTTCAGGCAGATCAAGGAGTTGTTCCTACAGGGAGGTGAGGACCTGCCCGCCCTCCCTGCTGCCAGCCCTGCCCCTGCACGCAGCCTGGTAGCCTCCTCTGCCTTCCTGCAGCCTATGACATGGTCAGCCAGGAGTTCGGCACCTGCCAGCCCCTCTCGGGACCAAGAGACCTGACCCAGCTCTTCGTGTTTGCCCGCAACGCCTTCACTGTGCTGGCCATGATGGACTACCCGTACCCCACCAACTTCATGGGGCCCCTTCCTGCCAACCCTGTCAAGGCAAGGCACCCCCGGGGCAGGCGAGGGCCCAGCTCCCCTGGGGTGGTCAGTGCTGGCCTGGCTCGAGGGCTTTGCACCCACTGTGAGGCTGGGGGATGCTCTTCGTGCATCCTCATAGGCTGGCAGCCCTGACCCTCGTTTTGGCAGCAGAGGAGGTTGAGTCAGGCAAGGGGCTGAAGGCTTTGCTGCCCCCACCCCAGGTCGCCTGTGAGCGGCTGCTGGGGGAAGCCCGGAGGATCTCGGGGCTGCGAGCACTGGCAGGTGCGTGCCCCCTCAGCCCTGGAATGAGCAAATGTGGAGACCCCTATGTGTGGGGGGGGCAAGGATCTGCAGTGCTGGCCTGGGCCCCAGGGATGAGTGGGGGTGGGGAGCACGGGCTCCAGCATCCCTGAGGACCCTTTCTGGTACTGCCTGGGGCTGGGCCTGGCTTGGGGGTTGCTGCTCACCAAGGTTTCTGGGGGGTCCCCAGGCAGCATGCCCCACCCACCCCACTAGGAGCAGGAACGTCAGGTGGGCCACTGGGCACCCTCAACGGCTAGGGCTAAGAGCAGAGACCCCATGGATCCTCAAGCAGGTGGCCCAGGCGGGCATTCCCCATGGACCCCCAGACCCCGTGTGACCATTCTGAGGGAACGGGTTGTGGCCTGAATGAGTGGTGCATCCCCTCCAGGACTAGTCTACAACTCCTCGGGCACACAGCACTGCTACGACATCTACCAGCTATACCACAGCTGTGCTGACCCCACTGGCTGTGGCACTGGCCCCGATGCCAAGGCCTGGGACTACCAGGTGTGGGGATGTGGACTGCCGGGGGGGGGGGTATGGGCATGCACCCTGCCCACTTGACCACAGCATGGGATCTGCAGGCCTGCACCGAGATCAACCTGACGTTTGCCAGCAACAATGTGACTGACATTGGGGATGGGGACTGCCGGGGGGGGGGGTATGGGCATGCACCCTGCCCACTTGACCACAGCATGGGATCTGCAGGCCTGCACCGAGATCAACCTGACGTTTGCCAGCAACAATGTGACTGACATGTTCCCAGACCTCCCGTTCACTGATGCCCTCCGCCAGCAGTACTGCATGGACACCTGGGGCGTGTGGCCCCGACAGGACTGGCTGCAGACCAGCTTCTGGGGGAACAGTAAGGATAGGGGCAGGGGCAGTGGGTAGGGTTCTGCTCTCTGCACCCCCTGCCCATGGCTCCAGCACTGGGGGCCGTGCTGGGGCCCTCCCTACCACTTGTGTCCCTTCCAGACCTCAAAGCTGCCAGCAACATCATCTTCTCCAACGGTGATCTCGACCCCTGGGCAGGGGGTGGGGTGAGTCCTGGCCTGGGCAGCTGCTGATCCCCGGGCTGTGTCTGCAGCTTTAACCCCATTAGTTTTTACATGAGACCCTATGCAGGGTTTCCCTAGTTGGTTTGCCAGGATGGCTCCTTTGCAAACCACAGCTGGGTCCTATCATCCGTTTTTGCTCCAACCCCCACTACTTCCTCCTCTCCCCTTCTCAGTTTCTTTCCCTGGTTGCTTATAGTGGACTCACAGCTGGCTCATCCACTTTCGCCTTCCTTTCCAATGGGACCATGTGAGGCTATGCAATGGCCTCAAATTACTGTTTTAACTGCATCTCACAGCTACCTAGAGAGCTGAAGTGGGGCTACTTGTGGCCCAAAGCCTGACAGGAATCCCTTGTAACAACAGATACAGAGGAACCTGAGCACATCCATCGTTGCTGTCACCATCCAGGGGGGAGCACATCACCTAGACCTCAGGTGCAGTGGGAGGTGGCCTTACCTGGCTCCCTCTCTTCCTGAGCCTGGGCCAATGGCTGGATGTGGGCTGGGAGGGGCTGTGAGGCTCACCCTAGGGGCTGGGGCTCTGCCTGCTTGGCTGAGCAGCCCTCCCCTCCGTGCCTGCCCCTCAGAGCATCCCACCCCGAAGACCCTGCATCCGTCATAGAAGCACGCAGGCTGGAGGCCACGCTCATCGGTGAGTGGGTAAAGGCAGCCAGACGTGAGCAGCAGCCAGCACTGCGTGGGGGGCCCAGAGGCCGATGGCGGCCCCTACCCAGCTAGGGTGAGAGGACTCCTGGGAGTGTCCCGGAGAAGATTCCTCATGGAGTGAAGAGCCGTGGCCAGGCTGCCCACCTGCCCTGCACCTGGGTGGACGTCAGGACCCTGAAGCCTGGCCGCGGCCCAGTGTGGGGGCCTCATGCAAGGGAGGCTTTGGTGGCAAAGGGAAGGGGCTGAATAAAGCAGTTTGGCCAAGCAGCCTGTCCCGTCCTGTGGGGGCCACGTGGGGAGGGGAGGGCACCTGCACACACCTCCCGTGACCTCAAGCATGGACTCCGCTCTCAGGCCTGACATTTCAGGGCAAAAGGGAGGGAAAGGCCATTCCCAGGGACCAGCCTCCCCATCCCAGGAAGCAGTCTCTGGTGGCAGCTGCAGCCATGCTGTGCCCGCCCCCCACTGCCTACACTGCTCAGGGGTGTCTCTTTCCACTCACAGCCCATGACCTGCAGCATCCCCACCTCCAGAGCCACAGGACAGTGCTCTGGCCCCTGGGGGGGGATAGCTGCCATCCCCTTGTCCCTCCATACTGGCCACGCCCACAGAGCCCGTTTGTTTGATGGTCTGCGGGGAGATGCTGGACCAACAGCGTCAGCCCCACCCGCAGCCCAGTTTCTGAAGGGCAGCATGGGCCAGAGTTCAGGGGTTGGTGGGGGCATGGCCCACCTCCTCGCTGTAGGGAAGGTGCCAGGATGTCCTTGGTAGAGACGGTCACCACAAGGCTGAGTCATGAGGCCAAGTCACAGCACAGCAGCGTGTGCAATGTAGCCAGCTTCAAGCGCAGCGTGAGAGCAAGCCCCCAGGGTGCCTGTTGTACCCAGGAGGGCATGGGTGGCTATGAAGGGCAGGGAAAGGCATGGGCCATGGCACAGCGGCCCTGAAGCCCCCATGTGCAGGTGGGCCCACATGGCGCTGCCACAGGGAAGGGGGATCTTACAGAAACGGTGAAGTTGAGATCGACTCCTCACACCTGACAAGGGAATGTGGGGCCAGGTTCAATTAAGGTTATCCTGGCCACGGTCCAGGGTCAGCCCTGTGGCAGGGACAAGGAGGACCTTGCCATCCATATTTTGGAGCTCGGGCACCTGAGGCGCAGAAGAGAAGCACAGGCAGATGCTGACTGTGCCTGGCCACTGGGTGCTGCATGACCCCTAAGGGCCCGTGTCCCTTGCCTGTGCACACCCGTCCTCCAGCTTGGCAGGAAGGCGGCCCTTGTGAGACGCAGGAGGAAGAGGACCCTCCCTGCTGGCCCGGGCCCTCCTGACCCCCACGTTGTGACACCTGGTTCCACAGGGGCTGGCGCTGGCCATATCTCTGACTCTCCCGCTACGGGGACTGAACTTTGATGCTTCTCACAGAAGAGCTTCTCCCAGCGCCCACCCGGACTCTCCAACCACAGTGACCCCCGAGTACACACACTGGTTACAGCGAATGGACTTTATCTTGATTGGGGAGAGCCACTCCTTGGGAGTGGGCTGGGAGCAGGGGGAATGTGCCACCCCAGCCCACGGAGCCACTGCAGGGCAGCCAGGAGAGTCCCTGAGTCCAACATGTAAACCTGACAGCCGTGGCCCCAGGGCCGCACTGTCTGGCCACCCCTCGCTCCTCTCTGAACACAGCATGGGCTCTGGGGTTCCAAGTGGTCCCAGGAGGCAGCCAGAGGCCCCGGGACCACTACGAAGCTCCCTGCAGTTGGCCAGTGGGGACATTCGGCTTTGGGAATCGTGAGCCGATTCGAGTTTCACAGGGAAGAAGGCAGAGGCTCCCGGAGGATGGGCTCACCCTGAATCACACACCCCTGATTTTCTTCCCACCTGTTCCTGACAGTGTCCTGATTAGAAGCAGAGACAAGGAGGGCCCAGAGCCGGCCCAGCAGCACGTGCACTCAGTGGCCACCCTGCACCACATTGGCCCTGGGAAAATGCTGAGACCCCACACAGCCACCTCTGTCCACCCAGCAGTCCCCACACCAGGAGCTGTCCCACTAGGCGGGGGTCCAGATGGGCAGGGGGTGAGCCTCAGTGTTGAACACGTAGGTATCCAGGCTGAGCAGGTTCAGGTCATCAGAAAACAGCAGATACAGGTACTTTAGTGTCTCCCCCAGGAAGAAACTCTCCATCTTGTCCCTGGGCTTCGGCTTGTGGGGATCCCGGACATTGTTGATAGAGGAAAAGCCTCCCGAGGGGACCTGCACACAAGCCAAGGCTTGCTGACAGGGATCGGGCACCCCAAAACCCCCACACCCAAGGCCAGCCCTTCCCATCCCCTTCGTGGTGCACACGGCCCCCTGGGCAGGCTAGGGGGTGGAGGGTGCCTCTGTGACGGCCACCCCTAGGTCAGCTATGACTCCACCAGACTCCTGGAAAATGCCAACAACCCTCCTGTGACTGGGACACAAACTGCCTCACAGAGAACCTGGGCCAGGGGCCACCAGGCAGGAATCTCCAGGCCAAAGGGCAGGCACAGGTGACGGAGGCAGCTGAGGTGTCAGGCCCCAGACCACACCAACAGGACGCAGAGAGCCAGGGGCTCGGGCCATGTATGGCTACACCACGGTGGGCAGTGGAGCTGGGCAGGGCGTGACCTTCCCTGACATAGGATCCCTGTTGGTTAGACAGGGTGTCAGGCAGCACCCTGGTCACTGGCACAGCACACATGCCTCACAAATGGCGGGAGGGGGAGCCGCATGTCGGGGCTACAGCTGGGACCCTCCCCAACCCATGGCCGACGGCTCACCCGTGTGAACGTATTGAAGCTCTGCAGGATCTCCCAGCCCCAGTCCTGGTACTTGTGGTCCCCTGTCAGGCGGTACAGGTAGAAAAGGCTCTCCACGGTCTCGGGACGGAGCAAATTGTGCCTGTCCGCCGGCTGGGATGGGACAGAGGCTCAGGACAAGGCCCCTCTCCAGGTACCCTCCACCCATGCTGACCCTGGCCCCAGCGCACCTTGACCTCCACATCCTGGTGGCCCTCCTTGGGATAGAGGTTGAAGTGCACAATCTCGGGACTCAGCCCTGTCTCCATCTGGCGGTTCATCTGGTAGCAGGTCTCCATCAGCTCCTGGGCGAGCTCCATGTGGTCAGCAGGCAGGCCGTGGTGGACACCCAGAGCCAGAGTCCCTGGCAGGAAGCACACGAGGTGGTCCTGGAATCAGAGTGTCTCCTCAGCACTGGATCCCAGACCCACACCGCTCAGCCTGAAGCTGCATGGGGGACTAACACTGGGAGCCAGACATGTTCTCAGCCATCAGCACCCCCAGGAGTGAAGATCACCCCAACTTGTAGCACACCTGGTAACCCACATCATGGCCAGAACGGCAGCACATGATAGCTCACCACAAGCCAAACACTTCCTGCTCCACGTGGGCAGGGTAGAGGCAGGAGGGAGGCTCCCTGGGGACATGCCGACCCCTCTCACCTGCCCCACACTTTTGAGGAACCTGCTGCACATCAGGCACCACAGGGAGGACTGCAATGGGGGGAGCTGGCCTGGGGGGCACATGTCTACCTGCAGGCACATAAGGCCACAGCGTGCTGAGCTTTCATGGGGACAGGCCAGGTCAAGTAGCAAAGGTCACATTCCTTGCCCAGGATTTTGTGATTTTCTCCAACATCCAGAGCCAGGAGGCTTAGAAGCCACGGAAAAAGGGGCGGCCTCCCACAGGCCCAGCACAGCCCACGCACACACTCACCATCTTGGCAACAAAGCGGCCATGGGCAAGCTCCCCAACGAAGGTGAGCTTACTGGGCTCGGAATGCCGCAGCAAGTGTGTTTTCACTCCCTCGATAGCCTCAACATAGTCTTCCAGTAATCTGTGAACACAGCAGGTTGGATCATTAGGGCAAGGCAGGAGCACCCGCCCCCCGGCTGCAGGAACAGGTGCAGGACTGAGCTGGGACCCCCACCAAGGCCGTGATAAGAAGTAAACATATTCCCCGTGGAAAAGCCTAGACCGTGCCTGGCAGAGCTGCTGCTTCCTGACAAAGAACTGGCACAAGTGGAGCTTCGGGAGCCCTGCGTCCAAGGGGCAGGAACAGGGCTCACCGTGTGTCCGTCTTGCCGCCCTGGATCCACTGCTTCAGCAGGTACTCGTAGTAACTGTCGGCCCTGGCGCCCAGGGTGAACACGCCCAGGTGGGTGAACAGGCCGCTGTGTGTGTTGATGAACATTGGCACCAGCCCGTCCTTCTTCCCTGACAGGGAGTGGATGTGCCTTGTCACCTCCTCCACAGCCTCCTGCAGCAGGAAGGGGGACAGCGGCAAAGGGGCTCTCTGTGCTCTGCCTCCTCCTTTCCCTATCCCTGACTTTCTCCCAGCAGAGGAGACGGTGCTCCGGCTCCTGGCCTGCAGCATTCCCAGCCCATACCACTCACTGCCAGAACGACATGCTCAGACGCCATGGGCCCTGACAACCAGGCAGACCTTGTCCTCTGGATGGCTTTCAGCGTCAATTCGATAGCACATGTCTGATGATCATACCCATCACCCTCATGACCACCAGCTGAGGCCTGGCCCTCAGCTCCTACGCCTGGAGGGGCGGCAGGCACGTCTGCTTTCTGAGCCAGCAATGCTGAAGACATCAGATCCCCAGCTCCTTGCCCTCTTGGTGAACTCCTGTTCATCCATCAAGACCCAACCAACCTCAGCTCCTCTGAACTCATGGGTGTGATGCAGCAGCATGAGGTGCCCTGTCCTCCTACAGTTCAAGCACGTGTTACCTGAATGCTTAGGACCATACATGGTGAGGATTTTCCTGGCCTCTACTCAGCACACACCCAAACCAACTGTAAGTTCCTCCGAGGCTGGCTTATTTCTCCCTGTTTATCTGCAGCAACCACACAGGCCCAGGTGACATGCGGGCATTTGTGCATGTCTCAGGGACACGTGGCGGAAATTCCCTCTGTGTGTCTGTGAGGCAACCGCACACAGTGCATTTCACTTCGCACCAGCAGAAGGGCACATGTCTCTCCAAAGAGGCGCATGTCCTGTTCACCCTTAAGAACAGGCACTCGGACACAAGGGTAAAGGCACAAGCAGCAGAAGCAAAAACGAAACCAGCTGCACTTCACGAAAAGGAGAGAGACGACCCACAAAATGGAAATAACATTTGCAGACCACATATCTGATCTGGGGTTGACACACAGAATAAATAAAGCACCCCTACAGTTCAACAGAACAAGCCGATTAAAAATCTGCCAAGGACATGAAGAGACATTTCTCCAGAGAAGACATACAGATGGCTGACGAGCCCCTGAAAAGACGTTCAACACCCTGTCAGGAAATGCACGTCAAAACCACAGTGAGACACACCTCACTGCCATTAGGATGGCTGCTACCAATAAACACACGATAACCAGGGTTGGGGAGGGTGCCCTGAGGGTGGGAGTGCAGAACGGTGCAGCCACTGTGAAAACCTGATGGTGGCTCCTCTAAACAGCAAACGCTGAATTACCACGTTATCCAGCAGGTCTACCTCTGGGCACATTCCTAAAAGAATCTCATGCAGAGACTCAAATAGATATCTGCACACCCACGTTTAGTGCAGCATCATTCACAATAGCCAGAAGAGGGAACCCCACCGTCCACTGACAGGGAAATGGACAGACTAAATGTGGTCCATCCACACCGTGGAGCACTCAGCCCTGAGGAAGAAGGAAGTTCTGACACGTACTGCAACACACACGGAGCTTGAGGACGTCATGCCGAGTGAAACGAGCCAGATACTGGAGGACAAACACTGTGATTCCACTCACATGAAGTAAAATTAGCACAGTCAAATTCACAGGGACAGAGAGCAGCGTGGTGTCAGCCAGGGGCTGGAGGAGGCTGGGGATGGACAGAGGGTTTCTGTTTTAGGAAGAACAAGTTCTGGATCTGGATGGTGGTGGTGGCTGCACGTCAATGTGAACACATTTAATGCCACAGAACTACACACTTAAAAATTATGGAAATGATAAATCTGACGTTATGTGTGTTTTACTACAACTAAAAAATCTTTTAAACAATGTTGGTGAAGGACTTCCGGATTTGAAAATTCTTTACACTCATTTTATTAATAAATATTGATACTGGAAAGAAAAAACAAAAACAAACACTGGCCAAGTTTGTATTCCCAATCTGCCTCAAAACTCCGTGATCTTGAACAAATCCCTTACCATCTCTGTGCCTCAGTCTCCCCATCTGTCAAATGGGGAGAGCAACGGTATAATTGCTACATGGACAAAATGAGCGGTACCTGGTAGAGAATGGTTTAAATGTGAGTGCCAGTGGGAAAGGCACATGCACGCGCCCGTCAGGCAGAGGGCACGGAGGAGTCAGCTGGAGCACTAAGTGCACCCGCGCCGAGCGCCGAGCGCGAGCATGAGCAGGGTGGGAGGCGGATGAGTGCCAGCCGGAGTGGGGCAGGAGGTACAAAAGTTCCAGTCCAGGCAGTGAGACAAACCTGGAGTTGCCGAACCCTGCACAGCAAGCGTCCTCTTCACACACGCACGGTGGTGGTCTGGAGTGTGTGTGGAAGGGTGAAACACTGGCACCAAAATGGCCTCTTTTGAACAGGAGGGCACTGGGGCCCTGCAGGACTGCCTGCAGAACCTCTCAGAGCACTGTGATGGACACTGAAGGCAGTCAGACTCCATGCGCAACCCCAGGTTTGGATTTAAATGCTGGGATCAAACATGGTATCAGCTCCAGGAGGACCCTGTGGCAGACCCCATTCACGCCAATCACACATGGCATCTGTGTGTGGGCAGCGCCGCTCCTAGCAATTCACCAGGGACAAACTCCCTCACAAGAGGTTGTCGGGCAGCAGCTCCACACGACGAGGACGGTGAAGTTGACTGAGATTTCACCAGCACAGAGCTGCCTGTGAAAACTCCAGCACCTCAACACATCAGACACCATACTGTCATTACGGAGCAAGGCCTCCGTGCACTGACACGAGGGAGGGTCCAGGACATTTGGCCAAGTGGAAACACGCCAGCTCTACACACCCTGCTGATGGCTCACCCGAGGAGGTAAGGACAGGGTCTATCACCAGCAGTGGCAAACTGAATGGGCGGGACCAGGGTGGAACCAGCTTTCTAGTCAATGCCTTTCTTGCCTGAGACGTTCACGCCCAAGCGTCTCTTATCAATGAGGACACAAAATTCTTCAGGAAAAGCAAGATAATGAAAAATCTGGGGTCATCAAGCACACGATTTAAGTACAAGCAAAACTGTACTTGCTTACAATTACCAAAATCAGAAATGTAAGTGGGGACATTACCACTGGTGGTACAGAAATAAACAAGATTATAAAAATACCATGTACACCAACAAATAGGCTAAACTAGACGAAATGAACAAAGTCACAAAACTTGCCAAGACTGAGTCATGACGAAATACCAATTCTGAATCGACCTACTCTAGGAAGCGGACTACATTGGTAATAAAACGTCCCAATGAAGCAAAACCCTGGGCCTGATGGTTCCATGGTGAATTCTACCAACAGTACTTCCCAAACTTCCAAAAAATTTGAAGAGGAAGGAACACTTCCTACCTCATTCTATGAAGCCAGCATTACCCTGGTACCAAATCCAGACAAAGATACCACAAGAAAGAAAACTGCAAACCAACATGCCTCATGAAATCCTCAACAAAATACTAGCAAACCAAATCCAGCAGCATATTAACAGGACTATACACCATGATCAAGCGAGATTTATACCTAGAATCCAAGATTCTAGTTCAACATACAAAAATCAATCAAACACTAACAGAATTAAGGGAAAAACCACACAATCATCACAACTGATAAAAAGTATTTGACAAAAATCAGCTCCCCTTCATGATAAAAACTCTCAACAAACTAGGAATTAAAGGGAACCACCTCAACATGATAAAAGCCATATATGAAAACCACACTGAATATCATAAACAACAAAACAAAATACCTGGGAATTAAACAAAGAAGTGTAAGAATTGTATAATGAACACTACAAAACATTGCTGAATGAAGTTAAAGACACAAATAAAGGAAAATACATCTCATGTTCACGGACCGGAAGACAATGTTTCTAAGATATCCACAGCCTGACGGAGGCAAGGCCAAAAATAAAAAGATGCCCAAACTCTCCAAAGTGATCTGCAAGTCAGTACAATCCTTATCAAAATCCCAGTGACATTTTTCACGGAACAGAAAAGCCCATCCTAAAATTCATATGGAACCTCAAGGAACCCCAAATAGCTAAAACTAGGGCCGGCCCGGTGGTGCACTGCTACAGTGCGCCGCTTGGGAAGCGCGGCGGCGCTCCCGCCGAGGGTTCGGATCCCACATACAGACCGGCCGCTCACTGGCTGAGCGAGGTGCGGGCGCAACACCGAGGGCTGCGATCCCGTAGCCGGTCCCGGTCCGGTACGGGCGCGACACTGAGGGTTGCGATCCGTTGCCGGTCACGAAAAAAGACAAAAAGGAAAAAAAAAAACAAATAGCTAAAACTATTTTGAAGAGGATGAAGAAATTGAAGGATTCACACTTCCTGGTGTCAAATCTTACTATAAAGCATGGCACTGGCATAAACACAGACATACAGACCAATGGAACAGAACAGGGAGCCCAGAAAGAAACCCGTGCACATATGGTCAAATATTTTTACCAGAGTACCAAGACCATTCAATGGGAAAAGGACAGTCTTTTGAACAAATGGTTCTGAACAGTCACATGCAAAAGAATGAAATTCAACTCTTACCTAACACCATATACAAAAACTAATTCAAAGTGATTCAAAGGCTTAAATATGAGACCTAAAACAATACAACTGTTAGAAGAAACTATAGGGCGAAAGATTTGCAACTCTGGATTTGGCAGTGATTTCTTGCATATGACACCAAAGGCACAAGCAACAAAAGAAAAAATTGACAAACTGGCCTGCACGAAAATTTTTAAATTGTACATCAAAAGACCGACCAACAGTGTGAAAAGGCAGCCCAGAGAACAAGAGAAACACTCACAGGCCATACATCTGATAAAGGGTTAACATCCAGAATATACACGAAAATCCTAAAACTCAACAAGAAACAAATAAGCCAATTCAAAAATGGGCCAAGGACTTGAACAGACATTTCTCCAGAGAAGATACACAGATGGCTGACGAGCACATGAAAAGACGCTCCACGTCACTAACAGGGAAATGCAAATCAAAACCACACCCACTAGGACGGCTACTATCAAAAAATCCAGAAAACAACCAGTGTTGGCGAGGATGTGGAGAAACTGGAACCTCCAATTGTTGGCAGGAATGTGAAACAGTGAAGCTGCTGGGGAAAACAGTATGACGGTTCCTCAGAAAATTAAACATGGAATTACCACATGATCCGGCAATTCTACTTCTGAGTGTTTACCCCAAAGGAATAAAAGCAGGGTCTCAAACAGCTGTCTGTACACCCATGTTCACAGCGGCCTATTCGCAATTACTAAAATGCAGCTGTGCAACCCAAGGATCCATCGATGGCTGAATGGATAAGGAAAATGTGGTATACAGACACAGGGGACAATCACTCAGCCTTAAAAAGGAAATGCTGTGATATGCCACAGCACGGATGAAACGTGAAGCTATGCTTAGTGAAATAAGCCAGTCATGAAAGGACAGATACTACATTGTTCTACTTACCTGAGGGGACTAGTACAGGCAAATGAACAGAAAGTAGAATGGTGGCTGCAGGAGCCGGGGGAAAGTGGGGAAGGGGACTTGTGGTGCACCTGTAGTCTCCATTTTACAAGATGAACACAGTTCTGGAGATGGATGGTGCTGATGGCCGTAGGACATTATGAATGTACTTAATACCACTGAACTACACAGATGAAAACAGATAAAAGGGTACATCTGAGGTGCGTTTTATGATTTAAAAAGTGGAGAGAGAGAGAAGCACGCGCACACGGCACCTGCTGCGAGGAGGAGAGTTTGGCTCCAGTGGGAAGCCGCGTCCAACTGGAAACCCGGCCCTCCTACCTGAAACTTCTTAACTCCTGTGAGACGCGAGAGCTCCCGGAACTCCAGCTGAATGCTTGTCACCTCGGCCACCGAGCTGTCCGAGGTCCAGCGGGGCGGGTGGGCCACTCCCGTGCCTATGTTCACATCGGAGTATGGGATCTTGGAGGGCGTGTTGAAGGCAGGCATTAGCCGATTTCCAAAATCTTCCTAGTACGAGAGCACAGCAGGGAATCAACATTTCAGGCCACACAGAGGCCTCCTCTACATTCCACACTAAGGCACTGTGAGTTTTCATTGCACTGAGTGGGAGACACGCACTTAATGACTCTCCAATGCCCACAACACAGCAGCAAAAAGAAGCTGGGGTCAACAGCGTGGAGAACTGGACATCAGCTCCCACAAAGCCTTTGGTTAAAGGCACAACTGCGTGAATGCTCATCCCGCATCAACCCGAAGGGGCGTGTACCCTCAGGGGTGAGTGCCTGAGCCAGGAGAACTCACAGCTTTCCTCAGGAAGAGGCTGTCCCCGGACAGATGGTAGGCACTCAGAAGCCCCCCGAGGATCCGGATTGTGCTCTCAAACAGGTTAACATCCACGTCTTTCTGAAAGTGTAACTTCTTTGACACCCAGTTTCTGGCTTCCTCAAACTCTATAATATAAAACAGTAAAGGACGCAGGAATAAAAGAATGGCTCTATCATTCTCCTAGGACCTACCAACCTTCGAGATGTTCTGGAGTGTGCTGTGCTCATGCAGGGTTTCAATGTCACCTCCTATGTCAAGGGGCTAAACCTTGAGGTCAACACATGCAGATGAAACAGAGCCAGCAGTGCAGCCGTGCGAGCACAGATGCTCCACAGTCAGAGGCTGTGACACAGAAGACCACGACAGTAATTTACCGCTGGTCTCCCACCTACTCAGAAAAAACTAACCAAATGTTTAAACTATCAATTTAGAAATGACTAAAGAAAGGTCAATGGTTCAGAACCCCATACTGGCCAGCAACAAAAAAAAAAAAAAAAAGAAATGACTAAAGACACATACTCCCAATTTAAACCAAATATGTGTGGTCTAAAAAGGGCATGATGGAGATTCGGAGCCAGGACGGGTCCACAGCACACCTCGAGTTACCCCGCCCAAGTCCCCCACTGCAACAGAAACACAGACTGGAAACACCCCTTGGATGCCTCCAGAGTGACTCACAGCTCTCACAGGGGTCAGGGGACAGCTACGCTCAGTGCACCCTGGGAGCCTGGACTCCAGAGCAACAGGGACCCACCGCACCGGACCAGTCCACTCCCGCACTCAGAGGGCAAACCCCCCTCGGGTGGACACGGCAGCGCCCACACTGTGCGCAGCCTCACACACTGCTTCAGCCCACGTGTCACGCAGGGAGGACCTGCCCACACTCTGAAGATGAGACAATACCTTTTTTCAGACCCAAAATCCACATGGTGTCCAGGGCATCAATCAGAGTGAGGCCAAGGCCGAACCACTCGCCGAAGGACCTGGACACGGGCTTCAGCTCGTCGTGGCCCCAGGCGAACTTGCGGTATCCTTTCCATGCGTGGAGGAAAATGTCAATCACCCCCTTCTGGCGGAAGTTTGGGGGCACTACAAGAAGCAAGAGAGCACAGGGTGTGGGTGCCATGGTCCTGGTGACTGGGCAGGGTCCCTCTGTGACCCCTGTAAGTAAAGCTGACAGTGGGAGGGGGTGGGGGGAGGGACACTGGCTGGTGCCATGGGTAGAATAAAGGGGGTGGGAAGGGCAGCAGTGGAGCGCAGGGAAGGTTGGGGGCACAGAAGCCACAGTGGGAATTGTGGGGAGCACACGCCGGTCAAGGGCCGTCCCCACGGGCCACACACGACAACCCCTGGTCCCCGACCACCTGCCTGGGGCCCAGGCAGGCACTGTCCCTCTCGGGCCTTGGATGCCTCTGGTCTAAGGGAACGGGGGCAGCACTCCCACAGGCCACAGGGGCAGCGCAGCGAGCCAAGGCCTTCGAAGCAGCAGGCAAGTGCTGCAGCGTGTCCTGTTGCTGCTGTGGGAGATTTGGATTTAGAAATATGAAATGCTGACTGGTGCAGAGACTGTGGCAAGAACATCCGAAACTCACCAATAGTAACACTCTGCCACGTCAGGCTCAGGCGTTTAACCAGGAAATGACATGGTGCAGATACACCAAAGTCCCCTCTGTAGCCCTTTCCAGAGGCGCCCTCATCTCACATTTGGGGAGTTCTCTTTTCCCGTGTTGGACAGGACCACACACAGCACACAATCTCACGTGTGGATCTTATTGCACAGGGTTCGCGACGTGTCCCTCACAGCCCAGGGGCCGCGAGTCCCGGCAAAACAATCAGAGCAGGGCCTCATGTGTGGGCTCCAGACTCAGCAGCCTGGCCTGAGTCTCAACTCACAATGCAAACAGCCCTGGCAGTGACTGACCTAAGCCTCAGTTTTCTTGTCTGCAGGATGGGGACGTGAAGGCACTCACTGCCTCCGAGCCAACACACACAAAGCTTAGCGAAAGGCCAGCGCCTTGTGGGCCTCAACAAATGGTACTGAGAGCCAAGTGACCCACTGAGGTGCCAAGGATCCATGAGGCCCAGAGGTGACAGGACACACCAAGGGCCACTATGTCTCCACCCACCCCACAGTGCAACCTGCCCACATGTGCACCTTCTGCTAAGTTCTCAGACACGGGGACACCCAGCCATCAAGAGGCCACACGCTATCACCAAGGTTGCACAGAATGAGTGAGCCTGAGCACTTGTGACAGCACGTGGGGTCCAGGACAAGCTGCAGCCACAGGCCAACCAGGAGGGCTGCACGCCATGGCCTTGACTTGGTGCACCTCTCTCTTGGTCAGAATGCCCAAGTGAAGCCTCACCTGTTTGGTTCCGAGTCCTGGCTGCCAGCGAGGAAGGCTTGGTGGGGGCTTCTGCTTTTCTTGAAGGGAGTTCACTGCCCTGCTCAGGCTCAATCATTGCCCCCCTCCAGCTGCAGGAAGGGAAGGAAGCGCAATCAACCAGTGCCACAAACAGCTCCTTGCCTGCTGGCCCCTGAGCTAGACACCTACGGAGAAAACAGGCCCTGCACCCACAGGCGCATCTCCCTGCAGCATGCACACAGGCTGCTGAGCGGAAGGGAACCAACAGAGTTCAGAACTGAAGCCCACTGAAGTCAGGATCAGGGTACCGTGCCAGGCTGGGGCAGTCAGGGCAGTGCTGGGATGTGGAGAACAAAGCCAGGGATGGTCTGGAAAGGGGAGCTGCCTGAGGTCAGAGACTGAGGCGTGGGGTGTCTGTGAGGCCAGTGGGGAATCATGAGAAACCGTGCTGCAGAGGGAAGCAGCGGCCAGAGGCTGAGGACCTCTAAGGTAGATGGCCGAATGACTTACGACCAAACTGGGGCACTAGTGAAAGTGAGATAAACTTAGGACACGTGGATGGCCACATAGGCTGGGACTGTCCTTATACACGGGACACATGGCCACCCCGAACTTCCCTGTCTATAGTCGGCAGATCACAAAAGGGGCAGAGGGTCTTCCACACAACCTCCTAATGGTGGCTGGACCCAAAATTCTCTTTAAGGACCGACCCATGATGAGTCTGCCTCAGGTTTAGCTAAATGCCTCGTTTTTGTTTTTTTTTGTGACCGGTAAGGGGATCGCAACCCTTGGCTTGGTGTCGCCCGCACCACGCTCAGCCATGTGAGTGCACCGGCCATCCCTATATAGGATCCGAACCCGCGGCGTGAGCACTGCTGCGCTCCCAGCGCCGCACTCTCCCGAGTGAGCCACGGGATCGGCCCTAGCTAAATGCCTCTTGAATGCACAAGTGGCTCACATCTTGGGAAGACAAGTGCAGTATATTCACAAGCTGAATTCAAATGCTCTTACTCTGAGAGTAAAGCCTCCTTCACTCATGCAGACATTAACAAGAGCTCCCAAGGGCTGTATTTGTTCTCTTGGGTGAACACATCCACGCCTGTTCCTGTCTTGTACTCATAAGTTTAGGACCCCCAATCCCATTTCCCCGCAGCCCATCTCTCCAGGCTGAGAGCGCCTCAGACCTTACTGCAGGGCAGCACCTTGCCTGGCCGCTGCCTGTATTCCTCACTGTTTAGGCACAGAGCTCAGGGCAGACTTACTATCACTGTGCCAGGGGAGGGTGAGAGGGCACCTGCCGGGAGTCCCCCTGCCCTGGACTTAACTACATCAACAATGTTTTTAAAAGTGAATCGTCGAACAGGAACTGAGGGTGAATCCCCTCCAGCGTCAAGGCTTCATCAGGATCCTGGGACCTGGACGCTGAACAGGCAGGAGACAGTGTCCTGGGAGCCTGGCACACAGAAAGCCCCCTCTCACTCTGCTGATGGCCTGACGGGGGGGTTCAGGAAAGGGGAAAGGCTGGACAGCCAGCCGTCTGCCTCCACGGCTGTTATTGCAGGAGGGAAGGCCTGAGCCCTGCTCCCCATCCTCAGACCCTCCCCTCCCGCACCCCCACCCACACACGCCCCTCATAGGCATTAAAAATGGCCCTGCCCCAGGACATCACTGCATATCATGAGTGGGGTCATCCACCTAATTTGGCTCTAACCTCCACTTTTAAAAATTTGATTTTGGGGGCCGGCCCGTGGCTCACTCGGGAGAGTGCGGTGCTGATAACACCAAGGCCCCGGGTTCGGATCCCATATAGGGATGGCCGGTTCGCTCACTGGCTGAGTGTGGTGCTGACAACACCAAGTCAAGGGTTAAGATCCCCTTACCGGTCATCTTTAAAAAAAAAAAAAATTTGATTTTGGGCCGGCCTGTGGCTCACTTGGGAGAGTGCGGTGCTGATAACACCAAGGCTGCAGGTTCCGATCTCTATATAGGGATGGCCCGTGGCTCACTCGGGAGAGTGCGGTGCTAATAACACCAAGGCCCCGGGTTCGGATCCCATATAGGGATGGCCGGTTCGCTCACTGGCTGAGTGTGGTGCTGACAACACCAAGTCAAGGGTTAAGATCCCCTTACCGGTCATCTTTTTAAAAAATAAATAAATAAAATAAAAAATGATTCTGAAATCAATTGTTAATGAAGACAGGTTACAGACAGGTGCTGTCTGTTTCACATGGAAAACATATTTCAGACATACTGCTGGTTCTTGTGAGCTGCTTTCGGAACACAGAAAAACACCCATTCACATTCAGCCCTATCCCGATGCCCTTCGTACCTGATGACCGTCCTCTGTGTGTTTTCCTCCTGGTGTGGGTCTCCAGGGGCTTCCCTCTTCTTAGCATCCCCCTGGGTATCATCTTTCCAGTCTTTACCGGGGGCTCTAATCTGCAGGTTGGGTGGTCCCCGTCGGAAATGCTTTCGAGGCTTCTGGACAAAAATCAGAGTCACACATGAAAATAACTCAATAGCCTGCGAACTGCTCTTTATTATGCCTCTGGGACACTCCCTGGTGTGCAGACTGTGCACCACGCAGTGCTGCGGACAGGCTGTGTGGTGCTCACCCTCACTTTCAAACCGGACGTGCAGACCTGGGACACGAGCTCCCCACAAGCTATAGGGACACCGGCAGCTGGCTAGCACAGCCCTGGACAAAGGCACTACACCGCTGTGGAATATTTCAAAGCTGTCATAGATCCTAGAGGGTTAACAAGAGAGGCTGGAACAAAGACCCTAGGGATGGGAGCCAGGAAGAACAACAGTTCCAGGCCTGCTCCCCAAACATCCTGCTCTTCATCCTCACAGACGAGTGTAAGAAACCACGTCCTCATGACCAAGACTAAGAGACTGAGACGACACAGAATTGGGCTCCTCCTTGTTGAGGTCATCACCCCTCACACCTGAGGGGCCCTGTCCACAGTCTGACACGGGCCTTATGTGCAGGCACAGGGTCCCGTCCTCTGCCTCTTCCCTACATACATGGCATCATAGGAGAAGTACAGCTCTGTAATGCTGTACCTTCTCCTTTGCTGATGAGTCTTAATGCCCTGCACATTAGTTTAGAGGCTAATTCATTCTTTTCTATGGCTGCAGTTTTCCGTAGCATTAACAAACCATGATTCTGTACACACTTCCTTACTGATGGATATTTAGACTTTTTTTTTTTTTTTTGGTGGCTGCTGGTACAGGGATCTGTAGACTTTTTCCAATGTCCTTTTTTGTTTTTGGTGGGTGGCTGGTATGGGGATCCAAAGCCTTGACCCTGTGTTATCAGCACTGTGCTCTAACCAAGTGTGCTAACCGGCCAGCCCCTTTTTTAAAAGAAAATAATGTTTAGTAAAAAACTATGCAACTATTTTTTAAAAATCTGGTTCATATCTAGTGATCTAAAAGGATGTCTACTATGTGTTGTAAGGAAATAAAGCAAAGAGCAGAGTACTGAGGACAGCGGTGTCCTATTTTTTTTTATACATAACCCCAAACTCCTTCTCTGTGAAATGATTTCAAGCGGCTGTTAACAGGGCCACCTCAAAGGTCTGGGTTCAAATGGGGAGTGAGACCTGATCTTTCCCACTGTACAGTATTGTACTGTTTCACTTGTTAATAAGAATGTACTTTATAACTAAAACAAAATGAAAGTAGGGAAAATATGAAGCAACATTCTTTCATATACATTTTTATGCTTATATGAAAATAATTCTTTACAAAAGGTACCAAGAGGGAGAAAATGCTTTGGTGAAATGCACGTTTGTTTAAAATTCATCAACTTATTTTCCCAGCAACACAACGTAAGACCTAATTACTCAGCACCCTAATCCACATGTAACATTAGCACTCTTTCTCATGTCTGCTTGTAGAAATTTTGATTCCTATTTGACTATTAGATAGGGTTTTTAGGTAATGCATGTATGGGACAAAAGTCCTTGGATAGGAGGCAAGAGCCTACAGCTAGGGGGCAAGAGCCCACCGAACCAATTCTAATCACTTTTTAGGTAAGGGATTATATACACTGATTGATTTTTTGGTTTTTTGGGTTTTTTTTAGGATGACTGGTAAAGGGATCTTAACCCTTGACTTGGTGTTGTCAGCACCACTCTCACCCAGTGAGCGAACCGGCCATCCCTATGTGGGATCCGAACCCATGGCCTTGGCGTTATCAGCACCGCACTCTCCCAAGTGAGCTAATCGGCCACCCTATATAGAGATCCGAACCCATGGCCTTGGTGTTATCAGCACCACTCTCTCCCACGAGAGCCACGGGCCGGCCCAACACTGATTGTTAATATAATGGGTTCACTGGAAGATTTTGTGAGAAGGAAACTCACACAGGTTTAAACCCTTTAATGTGAACAAGAGAACTGAAACTAAACAGGGATTGTTCTGAGGGCAACAACCCTTAATACAAACAAAGCTTAACTGATGAGAAAATATGTGAGTTAAGATTTCCAAGGACATTCTGCTAGATTAGTTAGTACGTGGGGGATTTTCCCACATTTTGCTTTAAGCAGTTTCTTTGAGTTTCTCAAGAAGTCAGGCACTTTAATGACTGCCTTATTGTTTCTTTAGCATGTCACCTGGCTTAGATTTATGACTCTTTTGATGTTATATTGTTTACACTATTTTGAACCATGCATGCTTGGATGAAGATTGTTACATAGCCCACTTCTTCATGTTCTTACTATGGTTGATTAACTATCTGTTCTTTTCCTGTAATTTCCTTTTTTATTTTTTGATTTATTTATTTTTTTTAAAAGATGACCGGTAAGGGGATCTTAACCCTTGACTTGGTGTTGTCAGCACCATGCTCACCCAATGAGCTAACCGGCCATTCCTATATGGGATCCGAACCCACGGCCTTGGTGTTATCAGCACCGCACTCTCCCGAGTGAGCCACGGGCCGGCCCTCCTTGTCTTTTTAATAAAAACTGAAACAAAACCGACTCAGGGCTGTACCCAGTTTCTCCTTCTAACAGAGGAGTTGCTGAGGTGCAGTCCCTTTGGGCTTCTCAGCACATTCGTGTTGCTTTGAGTAATCTTTTTGCATCTCTGTTACACAGAAAGAGATGTAACATCTGCTGATGGGCTAAAAGAAAAAAAAAAAGTTAAATTACACTGTCTATAAAAGACTCACTTTAGGGGCCGGCCCGTGGCTCACTCGGTAGAGTGCGGTGCTGATAACACCAAGGCCACGGGTGCGGATCCCATATAGGGATGGCCGGTTCGCTCACTGGCTGAGTGTGGTGCTGACAACACCAAGTCAAGGGTTAAGATCCCCTTACCGGTCATCTTTAAAAAAAAATAAATAAATAAAAGACTTACTTTAGATCCAGAAACAAAATAGGAAAAAAAAGAAGGATAGAAGTCATTCCATGCAAATAGCAACCAAAAGAAAGATGTGCAGCTGTATTACTATCAGTCAAAAGACTTCAAATCAAAAAAGGTTAGAAGGTACAAAGGACTGTATTGAATAAAGGATCAATTCACCAAGTAGATATAATAATCATATACATATACATGCCCACCAATGGACCCCAAAATATATTAAAAAATGGACAGAATTGAAGGGAGATACGGACAGTTCTACAGTAACTTGAAGACTTCAATACCCCACTTTCAAAAATGGATGAAAACCAAACAGAGATCAGTAAGGAAAAAGAGGACTTGAACAGCACTATAAACCAATCAGCTCTAACACACATACGGAGCTCTCCACCTGGTGAGAACACAGTACACAAGCTTCTCTAAGTGCACAGGTGTTCAGCCTTTACAAAGGTATAGCCATCCATCTTTCCCTTCATGGCTTCTCAGCTTTGTATCTCCCTCCACCAAGATTGTTAGATACTATCCAGTGTTCCCTGATATACTTTTCCAATTTCTTATATTTGGCTCTTTGTGGTGTTTATTTTTGTGTCTGTTGCATGCTACAGATCTACCTTATTTTTTCCCAAATAGACAGCCAACTGTCCCAGTACCGGTTACTGAGGAGTCTACCCTTTTCCCACAATCCGGAAGGCCACACACTAAGCCCTGTGAGTTCCTTATCTCTTTCTAGACCCTTCATTCAGTTCTGTCATGTACCGGTCTAGACTTGAATCACCACCACATGTTTAGTGATCATGGTTTTATGATATTGTAGGGAAATTTGAGTTTTCTTACCCCGACATTTTCCATATGAATTTTAGAATAATCTCTTCAAATGTCATTTAAAAATAGAAGAGTGGTAGGGAAACAGGCCAGCGGGTATGGCTGGTCCCTGTGATGTGGCTACAGGGCCAAGAGGAAATGGCTCTCCCAACTTGCTATTACAGCAGCTGTGGTTGGGCCCATCCTGACAGCTGGGCACTGGCAGACAACACAGGAAGCTGGTGACCCCATCCATTAGCACAAGTGGGAACTGACAGCAGTTCTCCCAAGCCCTGGATCCAGGACACACCACTGCAAACTCATTCTAGCATCCTAACATCTCAAATAGATAGAAGGTTGATGTTGTACCTTCCTGTCTGTGGTTAGAAATTCACTTTAAAAATTTTGGTGGGGGCCGGCCCGGTGGCGCACTGCTACAGTGCACCGCTTGGGAAGCGCGGAAGCGCTCCCGCCGAGGGTTCGGATCCCACATACAGCTCACTGGCTGAGCGAGGTGTGGGGGCAACACCGAGAGTTGCGATCCCGTTGCCGGTCCCGGTCCGGTACGGGCGTGACACTGAGGGTTGCGATCCGTTGCCGGACACGAAAAAAGACAAAAAAAAAAAAATAGAAGTTGGAATTCTGATGGGGATTTGAACAGAGTTAATTCAGAAAGAATTTATATCTTTGTAGTAAAAAACACAGTATGTGCAGTCACTTACGTCTTTTTGAATGTCTTCTGAGTCTGGTAGTTTTCTTCATACAGATCTTGTACATTTCAGTACCAGGATTATTCATATGAACTTGGTGGTATCATGAAGGAGATCTCTTTTCAATGATATTTTATGATTGGTTATTGCTGATATATAGCAAACTTCTCTGAAACTCTAATTTCTAAGCCTAACAGTCATGAGAGGCATGCGTGGTGAATGATGAAATCTCCTAACTCATTAAACATTTGTACAAATGATAAAGACATGAAATTCCTAAAAATGAATAATCAAAGGACATGGACAATTTACAAAAGGGGAAAGTTCATGTGACTTCATACCTTGAAGATGGCCAACTTCTAGGTGGAAACAGAAAAGTGCGGGAAAAGCAAACTCCATCTTTTGACTATCACACTGGAAAACCCCTTCAGCATTGACAGTGCCCAGTGCTGGCAGGACACTGCTGAGCCAATGCTCCTGCACTGCAGGCAGGGACAAGCTCTGAAGCTATTTAAATCAGCACTACTGATCACAAGACTTCCAAATATTCTCCATCTTTGACCCAATAATGGTTTACGTACAAAGGAAGTAATTACAGCACTATTTATAAATGAAGATGATATCCTCAACAGAGAAACGATCTAACAAATTGCAGTGTATCAATGCAACGGAAGATGGACCCATAAAAATTTATAAGAAAGGTAATATTCTCATAACATGAACGAAAAAAGCACAGTACAAGTCCACACAGACACTAAGCCCTCAGTTATTTAGACATATGTGTACCCAAATGAAATTAGTAAAAAAAACACACCGAGTATTTCAATACCTGGGTAGAGTGGTAATGAGTGGTTGTTTTTCCCCACTGTACCTTTCTGAACGTCCCAATTTTCTCTTCTAAGCACCTATAACATGTGAATCAGTCAAAAAAAACCAAACAGTAACAGAGAAGGGTCTGGCGAAAACAAAGCTCCATCCCTGATGAGGCCTCCCAGCGAGTGAAGTGTGAGCAGGAGAGGAGCTTCCCACAGCTCCCAGAGGGCAGTGTGGCCCCGAGTCCACCCAAGAGAAACATGCAGAATATGCACCACACACCAGACACTGGCGTATGGGACACTTACAAGCAACAGAAACACATCTTTCAATGAGAGAAATGCTACAACCTGCTTTCACAGAGTTATGAGATTCTATGTGCAAAAGAGAAGCCCAAAGGGGCCGGCCCGGTGGCGCACTGCTACAGTGCGCTGCTTGGGAAGCACGGTGGTGCTCCCGCCAAGGGTTCGGATCCCACATACAGACCGGCCGCTCGCTGGCTGAGCGAGGTGCGGGAGCAACACCGAGGGTTGCGATCCCGTTGCCGGTCCCCGGTCCGGTACGGGCGCGACACTGAGGGTTGCGATCCGTTGCCAGACACGAAAAAAGACAAAAAAAAAAAAAAAAAAAAAAAAAAACAAAAAAA